GGAGAATCCCCATGGAGAGAGGAGCCTGGTGGGCTGCAGTCCATAGAGTCACAAAGAGTCAGACACAACAGAGAGACAGAGCACACACGCAAGAGAAAATGTGTGTAATGTACATGCCACGTGTCAGGTTCACAGTCTCCAAGGTGATGGGGAAAGTTCAGAGCAGTGCCAACCTCCAAGTCTGGGAATGGAGAGTGGCCAACAGCCCAGCTGGCTCTCCCTCTCCAAGCCTCAGTTTACCCATCTATAACAGCAGGGTGAGGATCTTTAGCCTGTGACTGTGGTGGTCTGTGATTCCGAGAAAGTGGCAGCCTTGTTTCTATTCTGCTCACATGAAGGACCCTCTAAATGATTTATGACCAAAGTCTTTTATTCTCACTATCCCTCTTTGGACTTATTTTTAGGTGTTTGTCTGTTTGGTTCTAGGCTCTATTGAGAGCCAACTTCATCAACCACACCTGCAAACCCATGGGAAAAGACAGACTGAATGTTCCACTCAATTCTCTTCTCCAAGGAGAAACTCCTTTTTCCTTTACCTTCTAAGGAAAAAGAGAGAGAGAGAGAGAGGTTTTAACCACTAATCAGAACTAATGGAAGATGCACTCTGCTGTTTCTGACTACAATGACTGGAGGCAGACCCCAGGGAAGTCAATATTAGATCAATTCGTAGATAGAAGTTGGGGAAGGTGTAAAAAGCTCCCACGGTAGGTCCATTGTAGAGCCCTGTGAGGGCTGCACTTGACTGGGAAACGTTTAAATCTATTTTCTTTTGACCTCTGAGAACTCTCAAGTAAAAGCGGTAAGTAGGGGAAAGCTGTTTGCAACAGGTCTGGTGTTTTGACATTCATTTCAAAGGGCACAGGGTCTTTCTGAAGGAGGTGACGGCAAATGCTTACAGTTAATGGAAGCCACGCTGAGCAACTGGTGTCATCAGATTTCCTGGCTGAGTTCAGAAGCAGGGAATTCAAGGAGACACTAAGAGGTGGTACAAAGCTGCACCGCACAGACAGCCAGGGGAAGAAAATGAGAGGTGTGGACAACCTCAGCGAAAGACAGTGCCCAGAGTGGAAGGAACTCTTAATAGCAGATAAGGACACTTGGCTTCTAATTGCAGCTAGCTTTTAATAGGCACTCTAGTATTAACTGGTTTGCATGAACCACTTGCTCAAAACTGCCTTCTCTCCTCATATTGTTGTATTTGTATCTACCAAAATATTCCATACCTATCTAAATATTCTATATCATCTAAATATTTTTACATCTATATAATTGATATAGATATGTTCTTTTTCTCTGGAAAACCTGACTGGCTGCCTCAGCCATGTGGGCTGAAGGCTACAATCCTACTGAGGACTCACTGGGTGGGGATTCTCTCCTGAGAGATGGTGGGAATCAGTTCAGTTCAGTTCAGTTTCTCAGTCGTGTCTGACTGACTGTGACCCCATGGACTGAAGCATGCCAGGCTTGCCTGTCCATCACCAACTCCTGGAGTTCACACAAACTCATGTTCATTGAGTTGATGATGTCATCCATCTCATCCTCTGTTGTCCCCTTCTCCTCCTGCCTTCAGTCTTTCCCAGTTTCAGGGTCTTTTCAAATGAGTCATCTCTTCACATCAGGTGGCCAAAGTACTGGTGTTTCAGCTTCAACATCAGTCCTTCCAATGAACACCCAGGACTGATCTCCTTGCAATCCAAGGGACTCTCAAGAGTCTTCTCCACTGCCACAGTTCAAAAGCATCAATTCTTAAGCACTCAGCTTTCTTTATAGTCCAACTCTCACATCCATACATGACTACTGGAAAAACCATACCCTTGACTAGATGGACCTTTGTTGGCAAAGGAATGTCTCTGCTTTTTAATATGCTGTCTAGGTTGGCCATAATTTTGCCTCCAAGGAGTAAGCTTCTTTTAATTTCATGGCTGCAGTCACCATCCTCAGTGATTTTGGAGCCCAAAAAAGTAAAGCCTGACACTGTTTCCACATTTATTTGCCATGAAGTGATGGGACCAGATGCCATGATCTTAGTTTTCTGAATTTTAAGCCAACTTTTTCACTCTCCTCTTTCACGTTCATCAAGAGGCTCTTTAGTTTTTCTTCACTTTCTGCCATAAGGGTGGTATCATCTGCATATCTGAGGTTATTGATCTTTCTCCCAGCAACCTTGATTCCAGCTTGTGTTTCTTCCAGCCCAGCGTTTCTCATGATGTACTCTGCATATAAGTTAAATAAGCAGGGTGACAATATACAGCCTTGACGTACTCCTTTTCCTATTTGGAACCAGCCTGTCATTCCATGTCCAATTCTAACTGTTGCTTCCTGACCTGCATACAGATTTCTCAAGAGGCAGGTCAGGTGGTCTGGTATTCCCATCTCCTTCAGAATTTTCCAGTTTATTGTGATCCACACAGTCAAAGGCTTTGGCATAGTCAATAAAACAGAAATAGAAGTTTTTCTGGAACTCTCTTGTTTTTTTGATGATCCAGTGGATGTTGGCAATTTGATCTCTGGTTCCTCTGCCTTTTCTAAAACCAGCATGAACATTTGAAGTTCATGGTTCACATGTTGTTGATACCTGGCTTGGAGAATTTTGAGCATTACCTTAATAGCATGTAAGATGAGTGCAATTGTGCGGTAGTTTGAGCGTTCTTTGACAAAATGTGGTCCACTGGAGAAGGGAATGGCAAACCACTTCAGTATTCTTGCCTTGAGAATACTATGAACGTATGAAAAAAGATGGGAATACTGGGGCACAAATGAGGATAGATATAAGGTACCTGTTTTGGTTACCCAATGTCTACCTCTGGTCAAGTGTTTCTCCCTTAGGTGGTTGTTTATTAGTTAAATATCCAAGAGCCCAGTCTAGTTCTAGTTCAAAGAGATTTAACCTATTTGCCTGAACACCCTTGAATCCTGGTGAGAAGACAACATTAGAACTCAATAGTAAAGGATGGGATGGCTGTGAGTCTAATCTCTTAGGTTCCTTGAGGTACTTAGAAATGGGAAGAAACTAGATAGGATCCAGATGAGTATCTTGGGGCAGTTGTTTTCTGGATGGAAACAAGAAGAAATATGTTATAGTGGTAAAGCACTCAGCCCTGTGGATATGATCCCAGTGAATCTGAGGTTCTTGATATCTTGTTGCAGAAAAAATTCAGTGAGAGACAAAGTTACAGGGAAGAAGTGGGTTTACTTACAAAGAAGCACACTCCACAGACAGAGTGTGGGCCATCTCAAAAGATGAGAGCTTCAAAATATGGCATGGTTACTTTTTATGGGCTGGGTAATTTCATAGGCTAATGAGTGGGAGGATTATTCCAATTATTTTGGGGAAGGGGTGGGGATTTCCAGGAATTGGGCCACAGCCCACTTTTTGACCATTTATGATTGGCCTCAGAATTGCCATGGCACTGGTGGGTGTGTCACTTAGCATGCCAGTGTATTACAATGAGTGTTTGAGGTTCAAGGTCCACTGGAAGTCTAATCTTCCACCATCTTGAACCTAGTTGGTTCTAATCAGTTTTTGTTATGTCCTGTGGCCATGTCAAACTACCATACAATTGTACTCATCTCACACGCTAGTAGTGTAATGCTCAAGATTCTCCAAACCAGGCTTCAGCAATACATGAACCACGAACTTCCAGATGTTCAAGCTGATTTTAGAAAAGGCAGAGGAACCAGAGATCAAATTGCCAACATTCGCTGGATCATCGAAAAAGCAAGAGAATTCCAGAAAAACATCTATTTCTGCTTTATTGACTATGCCAAAGTCTTTGACTGTGTGGATCACAATAAACTGTGGAAAATTCTGAAAGAGATGGGAATACCAGACCACCTGACCCACCTCTTGAGAAACCTGTATGCAGGTCAGGAAGCAACAGTTCGAACTGGACATGGAACAACAGACTGGTTCCAAGTAGGAAAAGGAGTACGTCAAGGCTGTATATTGTCACCCTGCTTATTTAACTTATATGCAGAGTACATCATGAGAAATGCTGGGCCCAGGAAGCACAAGCTGGAATCAAGATTGCCAGGAGAAATATCAATAATCTCAGATATGCAGATGACATCACCCTTATGGCAGAAAGTGAAGAGGAACTAAAAAGCCTCTTGATGAAAGTGAAAGAGGAGAGTGAAAAAGGTGGCTTAAAGCTCAACATTCAGAAAACTAAGATCTGGTCCCATCACTTCATGGGAAATAGATGGGGAAACAATGGAAGCAGTGTCAGACTTTATTTTGGGGGGGCTCCAAAATCCCTGCAGATGGTGATTGCAGCCATGAAATTAAAAGATGCTTACTCCTTGGAAGGAAAGTTATGACCAACCTAGACAGCATATTAAAAAGCAGAGACAGGCGTGCTGCCGGGATCGCGTCTCGGTCCGTGACGGGGTGGGGGCGGGGTGGGGGGGGGGTGGCGCGCGCGCCATTTCTAGTCGTTTTCAAAGCACCTCGCGCTGGTTCTCACGGGCCCGGCCACCGGCCCCAGCTCTGCCCTGGATTGGTAGCTTATGTCGATCTTGATGAAAGAGCAATTGATGCTCTCAGGGAATTTAATGAAGAAGGAGCTCTGTCTGTACTACAGCAGTTCAAGGAAAGTGACTTATCACATGTTCAGAACAAAAGTGCATTTTTATGTGGAGTTATGAAGACTTACAGGCAAAGGGAGAAACAGGGGAGCAAGGTGCAAGAGTCCACAAAGGGACCTGATGAAGCAAAGATCAAGGCCTTGCTTGAAAGGACCGGTTACACCTTGGATGTAACCACAGGACAGAGGAAGTATGGTGGTCCTCCCCCAGACAGTGTGTACTCTGGCGTGCAACCTGGAATTGGAACAGAAGTCTTTGTAGGTAAAATACCAAGAGATTTATACGAGGATGAATTGGTGCCCCTTTTTGAAAAGGCTGGTCCCATTTGGGATCTGCGTCTTATGATGGATCCACTGTCTGGTCAGAAGAGAGGGTATGCATTCATCACCTTCTGTGGAAAGGAAGCTGCGCAGGAAGCTGTTAAACTGTGTGACAGCTATGAAATTCGCCCTGGTAAACACCTTGGAGTGTGCATTTCTGTGGCAAACAACAGGCTTTTTGTTGGATCAATTCCGAAGAATAAGACTAAAGAAAACATTCTGGAAGAATTCAGTAAAGTCACAGGTTTAACAGAGGGTTTGGTGGACGTTATTCTCTATCATCAACCCGATGACAAAAAGAAGAATCAGGGGTTCTGCTTCCTTGAGTATGAGGATCACAAGTCAGCAGCACAAGCCAGACGCCGGCTGATGAGTGGAAAAGTAAAAGTGTGGGGAAATGTAGTTACAGTTGAATGGGCTGACCCTGTGGAAGAACCAGATCCAGAAGTCATGGCTAAGGTGAAAGTTTTATTTGTGAGAAACTTGGCTTCTACAGTGACAGAAGAAATATTGGAAAAGTCATTTTCTGAATTTGGAAAACCTGAAAGAGTGAAGAAGTTGAAAGATTATGCATTTGTTCATTTCGAAGACAGAGGAGCAGCTGTTAAGGCCATGGATGAAATGAATGGCAAAGAAATAGAAGGGGAAGAAATTGAAATAGCCTTAGCCAAGCCACCAGACAAGAAAAGGAAAGAACGCCAAGCTGCTAGACAGGCCTCCAGGAGTACTGCGTATGAAGATTATTACCATCACCCTCCTCGAATGCCACCTCCAATTAGAGGTCGGGGTCGTGGGGGGGGAGAGGTGGATATGGCTACCCTCCAGATTACCATGGCTATGAAGATTACTATGATGATTACTATGGTTGTGATTATCACGACTATCGTGGAGGCTATGAAGACCCCTACTACGGCTATGATGATGGCTATGCAGTAAGAGGAAGAGGAGGAGGAAGGGGAGGGCGAGGTGCTCCACCACCACCAAGGGGGCGGGGAGCACCACCTCCAAGGGGTAGAGCTGGCTACTCACAGAGGGGGGCACCTTTCGGACCACCAAGAGGCTCTAGGGGTGGCAGAGGGGGTCCTGCACAACAGCAGAGAGGCCGTGGTTCCCGTGGATCTCGGGGCAACCGTGGGGGCAATGTAGGAGGCAAGAGAAAGGCAGACAGGTACAACCAATCTGACTCCAAGCGCCGTCAGACCAACAACCAACAGAACTGGGGTTCCCAACCCATCGCTCAACAGCCGCTTCAGCAAGGTGGTGACTATTCTGGTAACTATGGTTACAATAATGACAACCAGGAATTTTATCAGGATACTTATGGGCAACAGTGGAAATAGACAAGTGAAGGCTTGAAAATGATATTGACAAGATACGATTGGCTCTAGATCTACATCCTTCAAAAAAAATTGGCTCATCTGTTTTATCTTTAAGTAGCAATTTGCTGCCATTTGTATTTGGCTGAAGAAATCACTATTGTGTATATACTCAAGTCTTTTTATCTTTTCCTCTTTTCATAAATGCTCTTGGACATTATTGGGCTTGCAGAGTTCCCTTATTCTGGGAATTACAATGCTTTTATCGTTTCAGGCTTCATTTTAGCTTCAAAACAAGCTGAGCACACTGTTAAAATCATGATTTTGCAGAACCTTTGGTTTTGGACAGTTTCATTTTTTGGATTTGGGATAGCTTACATAGGGGTATGGAGTATGCTGTAAATAAAAATACAAGCTAGTGCTTTGTCTTAGTAGTTTGAAGAAATTAAAAGCAAACAAATTTAAGCTTTCTTGTATTGAAAATAACCTATGATTGTATGTTTTGCATTCCTAGAAGTAGGTCAACTGTGTTTTTAAATTGTTATAACTTCACACCTTTTTGAAACCTGCCCTACAAAATTTGTTTGGCTTAAACGTCAAAGCCGTGACAATTTGTTCTTTGATGTGATTGTATTTCCAATTTCTTGTTCATGTAAGATTTCAATAAAACTCAAAAATCTATTCAAAACAAACAAAAAATAAATAAATAAAAAGCAGAGACATTACTTTACCAACAAAGGTCCGTCTGGTCAAGGCTATGGTTTTTCCAGTGGTCATGTATGGATGTGAGAGTTAGACTACATAGAAAGCTGAGGGCAGAAGAATTGATGCTTTTGAATTGTGGTGTTGGAGAAGACTCTTGAGAGTCCCTTGGACTGCAAGGAGATCCAACCAGTCCATCCTAATGGAGATCAGTCCTGGGTGTTCATTGGAAGGACTAATGTTAAAGCTGAAACTCGAATACATTGGCCACCTGTTGCAAAGAGCTGATTCATTTGAAAAGACCCTGATGCTGGGAAAGATTGAGGGCAGATGGAGAAGGGGACAACAGAGGATGAGATGGTTGGATGGCATCACTGACTCAATGGACATGAGTTTGGGTTAACACTGGGAGTTGGTAATGGACAGGGAAGCCTGGTGTGCTGCAGTCCATGGGGGTTGCAAAGAGTCAGACACAACTGAGGGACAGTTCTGAACTGAATACAGGTGGCTCAGTGGTAAAGAGTCCACCTGCCAATGCAGGAGACACAGGTTCAATCCCTGGGTGGGGAATATCCCCTGGATAAGGAAATGGCAACCCACAGCAGTGTTCTTGCCTGGAGAATCTCCATGGACAGAGGAGCCTGACAGGCTACAGTCCATGGGGTCATAAAGAGTCAGACATGACTGAGTATGCATGTACCTCAACAGTTAGGCTTCAATTTCTTCATCTCTAAAATGGATGTCTGTGAAGAAGACTTACTTTCTAGAGATTTGAAAAATGCAGAGATGAGGCATATATCTGCTTAGTCTACTATACAACAAATGTTAGTCATTATTATCACCTCTGATGAATAAAACTTATATTTATGGCAAGACAAGAAAAATTTAAACAAGATTTTTCTTTGCCTGTTTGGGTCTCCTCCCTCGCTTTTCATGTGGATTGTGCATCTGCATTGACCAGACCCCCTTAGGAGATAACATTCCTTCTTAATCTTGTAAAGGGTCAGGATGACTGACTACTCACTTTGTAGTGCAGATCTGAATTGTGTAAACTGTCAGTACATCCTTTGACATATAATCCTCTATCTCAAAACCTATATAGCTGTGCTTTGACCTCTATCCTCAGAGCTTTCTGAAAGACTATCTTCCAGGTTATAATCCTCAGTTTGGCTCAAATAAAATTTTCCATTTATTTCTTAGATGACTATTGATGAACTTTTTCATCAACACCTCCACAAGTAGATGTAGAGTGGCTTTGGAGAAGGAAATAGCATTTGAATATATTGAGAGCATAGGCAACAACAGCAGAGAAAGCTCAACCAGAGCATTTGGAGTAGCTTAGTGTCTATGGCCCCATTCTACAAGGAGGAAAGGCACAGTGATCCTGGCCATGTTTGTCTTACTTTCAGTGAGCACTTCTGGCACTTGAGCAGAGGAGCCTAGAGTAACAAAAGACCCAGAAAAGAAAAAGACAACACTGGATGGGATGGAGTAGAAGTGGAATAGAGACAAGACTTGCTAGGGGATAAAATAAACCTCAATTAGCATCGAAGGAGAGGACTTTGAAACATAGTCCACTGTGGTGGTAAGGAAAGGCAGCAAAAAGTGGACTTGTTGAATTGTTTGGCAATGCAAACATCAGAAAAGAAATTATTCTCATTGATCTACAGACAGTGGAGTGGGGGTTTCTCTTCTATATCCACTCTCCCTGTGCTATGGAAGCTTTAAGGTTTGGAAAGGTTTGAAGCTACTCCAGCTCCAGGAGTGGGTCCTGATTAAGATAAGCCAAGGATCAGAATCCCATAGACAGATGAGCCATGCGGGCTAGAGTCCATGGGGTTGCAGAGTCAGACACGACTGAGCAACTAATGCAGGCACGCACACACACACACACACAAGGATCAGCAAATTTTCCTGCAAAGAGTAAGACAGTAAATATGTTAGGCTTTGTGAACCAGATGTTTGGAACTACTCAATTCTGCTGCTTCATTGTGAAAACAGCCATAGTCAATAAGTAAACAAAAGGGTCTGACTGTGTTCCAATAAAACTTTACAAAAACAAGCAGCAAAAGGAATTCGGCCTGTGGCCATAGTCTGATGGTCTAAGCCAATCAAGGTAACTCCAATCATCCTCTTCCTAAATGATGCCTAAACCAAATAATGCATCACATTCCAATGGCTACAATAATTGGCTCTGGAATGGTCTAGTCAGAGTGAATATTAGGAATTTCATTTGATGGTTGGGATAGGGTGGAATAGTGGGGAGGAGGAGCAGGGATAGAGGGACAATACACTGTTTCTCCCTGTACCTAAGTAAGAAAATGATAAGGAAAGAAGCTAGCAAATAGAGAAGGAAAAAGCTAGAGTGTATCAGAGAAATCAAACTGAAAGAAGGCCTGATTAAATAATGCCTGAAGCCTGCACAACATCTTGGCTTGATAATTATGAAAGCAAATAAATTCTTATTTTATAAGCCATTTTGACTTAGATTTACTACTACCTACAACCTACAACATCTTAACATACAAATTGGAGATCATATCAACTAACTAATGGACGCAATACAACACTGTTTTCCCCCAACTTAAAACAAAACACTAAAAATGTGTAATGGTTAATTTTATGTGTCAACTTAACTATGCCACTAAACTCTCAAATACTTGGTGAAATACTGTTTCTGGGTGTGCGTGTTAAGGGTGCTTTGGATAAGATTAACACTTGAATTGGTAGACCAAATAAAGCAGATTGCCTTTGAGAGTGGGCCTCACCCAGTCAGCTGATGGCCTGAATAAAGTAAAAGGCTGAGAAAGAAAGAATAATCTCTCCCTCCTTCTGCTCAGGGCTTCCCTGGCGGCTCAGTGGTAAAGAACTGGGAAACCTATAGACAAAGGAGCCTAGTGGGCTACAGACCATGGGGCAAAACAGTCAGACACAGCTTAGCGAATAAACAAACAACAAAAAAACCTTCCTGATTAACTGTCTTCCTCTACCTGGGACGTTGACTGGTCGTCTTCTGCCTTCAGACTTGGACTCAGAATGAAACTCACACCATTGGCTCTCTAAGTTCTCAGACCTGGACTGAAACTTACATCATCTGTTCTGCTTCTCAGGACCCTGGACTCAGTATGTGTGTGTGTTAGTCACTCAGTCATGTCTGATTCTTTGTGATCCCGTGGACTGCAGTCCACCAGGCTCCTCTTGTCCATGGGATTCTCCAGGAAGAACACTAGAGTGGGTAGCCATTCCCTTCTCCAGGGCAACTTCCTGACTCAGGAATCAAAGCTGGGTCTTTTGCATTAGAGACAGATTCTTTACCATCTGAGCCACCAGGAAAGCCCCTGGACTCAGACTGGGACTAAATCAACTCTCCTAGGTATGGACTTCTCAGCCTCCATAATCACATGAGCCAATTCCTTTTAATAAATCATATGTATGTGTGTGAGAAAGTTGGCTTAAAACTCAACACTGAGAAAACTAAGATCATGGCATCAGGTCCCATCACTTCATGGTAAATAGATGGGGAAACAGTGGAAACAGTGACAGACTTTATTTTGGGGGGCTCCAAAATTACTGCAGATGGTGACTGCAGACATGAAATTAAAAGACGCTTGCTCCTTGGAGAAGGAAAGCTATGATCAATCTAGACAGCATATTAAAAAGCAGAGACATTACTTTACCAACAAAGATCCATCTAGTCAAAGCTATGTTTTTTCCAGTAGTCATGTATGGGTGTGAAAGTTGGACTGTAAAGAAAGCTGAGTACCAAAGAATTGATATTTTTGAACTGTGGTGTTGGAGAAGACTCTTGAGAGTCCCTTGGATGGCAAAGAGATCCAACCAGTCTATCCTAAAAGAGATCAGTCCTGAACATTCACTGGAAAGATTGATGCTGAAGCTGAAACTCCAATACTCGGACACCTGATGCAAAGAAATGACTCACTAGAAAAAACCCTGATGCTGGAAAGGTTGAAGGCAGGATGAGAAGGGAATGACAGAGGATGAGATGGTTGGATGCATCACCAACTCGATGGACATGAGTTTGAGTAAGCTCCGGGAGTTGGTGATGGCCAGGGAAGCTGGGCGTGCTGCAGTCCATGTGGTAACAAAGAGTAAGACACAACTGAGTGACTGAACTGATATATATATATATATATATATAAGTGTGTATATATCTAAGTGTGTATATATATATATATGTATATGTATAATATATAATTTTATTGTTGTTTAGTCACTAAGTTGTGTTCAACTCTTTTGTGACCCCATGATATTGATTCTGTTTCTCTGGAGAACCTTGATTAATATAAAATAAAACTGCTTTT